GGAACATTTTATGTGGGGTGTGTTGCCAGAAGTGCAACTGAAAAGTCGTGAATTAACAATTACCTCGGACAGGTGAACCCCATCCCTGAGGAATCAGTGCTACTGTGACATCACAATCTCTGGATGAAATATCAGCAACGTATTTTGCGACTTATAAAGCTAACGTCTGGCATATTAATTTATTGACTTTCTCACTCCCTCGAGGGCTTTTTGGGAAGAATGGCCTTTCAACCACCCCCGGTATAACATACCCTAGGAAGAATTGAGGACCACGCTATGTGGCAGTGTGGCAACAGCCGCTGAACTGTGGAAAAACATGCCACTACTGCCTTGCGACACCGCTTGGCCTCGAATCGCCCCACATCATTGGAACCCAAGTGAAATAACAACCACGAGGGGGCTGGATGCGTTTGCCAAAGTCTAAGTTCAAGTTCGGTGAAAAGTCTTGAAGTAACGCACCGCCTCTTCCAAACCAGTGGATCTCTGTACTGGTAGTGCCCAAGCTCGCCATTCCTGTAGCCACCACTCGGCCTTTGGCTCGGCGGATGAGGCTGTCCCCGATGAGCCATCTCCTCGGTGTACACCCTGTATGAATCAAACCACAAAAGAATTTTTTGAAGTTCCCATTCTAAAATGCAACCCACAACTTTATTTACCAGTAAGAAACTACTACTTTAAAAAAAAAAAACTTTTGAAATCTTAGTATCTGACGATTTCCAATCACTGAATGGGGTTTAACAGCCTTTCTCGTCATCACCTTTTCTGTACCCTGATATATGAATGAAAGGCGTCGCTACGCCATCGGCACATCTTTTGTATGTCCTCCAAAAGGTGCCGCTTGTCTGAACCTGTGCAACTGCAAACGAGATAATGAATCGGCAATGACGTTCTGTTTTGTCCTGATATGCACTGCCTTAAAGGAAATGTCATACTTAAGACAAGTCAACACAAATTGCCGCACTAGCGACATGATTTTGGGGCATGCTGACGTTTGCTTGTTAACCATGTACTTCACTGACATATTGTCAGTGAAAAATGCGACTTGTTTTCCCACTAGCTCTAGGCCCCAAATTGTCACTGCGGCCACTATAGGAAACATTTCTTTCCATGCAAGCGAGTAGTCACCCTCTATGATCATTGTTGGCCATCTACCATTAGATCATTTGCCCTGAAAGTATCCTCCGTAGCCAATCCCCCCGCTAGCATCACTAAATAGCCTAATGTCCTGATTTGTCGTCCAACACTGGGCCATGATTATCCCTGTCCTATTGAAGGATTCTACAAATTGTTGCCACATCTTGGCACCCGCCGATAACAGTACCTGCTGTTTGGTTCATTTTCGCTCTTTCAACATGTCTATAAGCTGCCGTAGAAAAGCCCTATCCGGTTTGACTGCACGACATTAGAAACTCAAGGAACCTATCAGGGATTGCACCTCGGTAACCGACAAAGTGGCCGACAGAAGCGCCCTGCGTACTTTACGGTTTATATCGACTAATTTTGTCGGTGGCATCCTAACCTGCATGCAAGTGACGTCAATTTCTAACCCGAGATATGTCAACCTTTTGGCGGGGCCCTCGGATTGCTCCGGTGCCAGGGGGATGCCCAGGAACTCACAGCTGGCCTTAAGTTCAACTAAGAGCGATCTACACACAGAAAATCTACACACAGAAAATCATCCATGTAATGGACAATGCCATCTGACCCGGTATTTCTCCTAATGAGAAACTTGATGAAGGTCGAAAACCTTTCAAAGAAAGCTGGTGCACACCGCGCACCCATAGGTAAATCTTTGTCTACGTAGTATTTGCCGTTAAGTTTCATCCCCAATAATTCAAAATCCTGAGGGGCAATCGGTAACAACCTAAATGCTGATTTGATGTCCGCCTTGGCTAGTGAGGCGCCCTGCCCTATTTGTGCAACTAATTCCACCGCATCATCGAATTTGTTGTACTGTACTGTGCAGTTCTCCGCGGTGATTAAATCAGTGACTGAGTAGCCCTCTGGATAAGAAAGGTGGTGGATCATACGATACTCCCCTGCTGTGTGTTTTGGCACTAAACCTAGGGATTTTACCCTCAAATGCTCCAAGGGACGACTATTGAACAGACCTGCAATCCTACCTAACCCCAACTCTTTGTCTACTTTTTGCTGGGCCGTTGCCGGATTGGATGACACTGATTTCAAATTGGGGAATTCGACCAGTAATCGAGGCCCATAGTAACCTAGTTTGAAACCCTCAGTAAGACCCCTTGCTAGAAATTGCGCTGTCTGTCTATCCGGGTATAACTCAAAGGAGTGTTATCAAATTGTGTTTCTTAATTGGAGTAGGCACTAATTCTAAACTGCATGAACCTATGTGACCCCATGGCATCCGCCTAGTAACCTCGGTAGGATGTGGCAAGCTTCTTTGTGTTCTCGGATTTTGGGGTTGTTGGGGCTGGTCCCTTACCACTGCTAGTTTTGGGTTGTTTTTGAGAGTTGGAATTGCACGACAATCGCCCGTGCCTAGTCGCCCCGCAGATGGAGCAGCAGTGCGTGAACTTACAAGCTGCTTGCGCGCACGCCCCTTTATTATTGAATTCGTAGCAGTGCCCGATCTGCTTTGCAGGTCTGTGGCCCCCTGAGTAGTTTTGGTTACGTTTTGACTGAGTACTGGGCCGTTGCCCTTGAAATGCCGACTTATTTGCTCCTCCCTCTATGAAATTGGACTTGAGCTGACCGCCCCCTATGACATACAACAGCCATAGTTCCCCGTCGATCGCCTCCCATGCTGTGTTACTCCCTGGCATATGAGACCTAAACTCGACATACTCGCGCCACCCGAACCCTGCGTACCGAAAAGCGGCAGATCTAATGGTACTGCAATACTTCAAAAGGGACAACGTGCAATCCGGTCTTGCCTGGAGATAAATACTACTGAACACCAAAAACGCGTCGGTCCACGAATCAATGGACCGAATTCTGCGCTTGGGCTCGGCTTGACGCAGTACAATGTTCTGCCCGCTCTGCACTAATGCCAAATCGACTTGGTCCCTGTCTGTCAACCCTGCCCCAATGCTGAAATAACTAATATGCCCCTTTGGGCAAGATTACCATATGCGAAGTTCACTAATTTTCCTCTGCATTGACTAACAAGCCCCCAGATAGCAATTTCATGTCATCAAAGTCAATTCAGCAGTGAGAAAATACAAGCATTTTCTTAGAAAACACTTAGAATTTTTCAGTCCAATCTCATAGGGTTTGTACACAGGGTGTTGAGTGAACTTCGTATATGGAAATCTTTCCGCCCCTTTGCTTATTAGTGTTAACCAATAGGCCTAGCTCTACAAATTCACCCTTCCCAATTTTTTTCTTGCTATTTTGCGGGACCAATGAGCCTAGCAACTCCCCACGCGGTGAAAGCTGTGTGGCGGCATACGACCTGACTGGGACGGGCATTGTAATACTACGGCCCTGGATATCCCGACCATTACCGATAGTACTAGTAACAGGCAAAATTTGGGAAGGTGGCGGGAATACCTGTGGAGTGCCCGGGTTACCGGCTACGTCTTGACCGCCGCCTATACCCATCCCCACCCCCCAAGACGTATTGGGATTATGCCGCCCTTGATCACCCGTATATGGTAACAGGGTCTGCTCACCCGGTGCGTTGACGTTGATGGCTGATGTAGAAATGTCGCCGATTTGCTGGCCACTGGTTGGCGCCGGGCTCGCTGCTGTCGTCAGTAGCTGTCCTTGGACGAGCGATGTGGGTGGGGCTGTGAGCCATCCGTGGGGTTGCTGAACAAAGGGGCGGACCAGGCTCTCCGCCGCTGTATCCGCTTGCCGGCCTGCTGCGGGTATGGCTGCACGCGTATCCCTCACCGACTCCGTCTCCGGTTGGCCACTGTCTGTGGGAGTCTCGCGTCTGGCCCGTTTGGGGGGCGGCTGATCCTTTCTGGGCCTGCCTCGCTTACCCATCGTTAGCTCTCTTTTACTTCTGCTTGATCTGTCTTGAGTGTGACGAATGTATGTGTTCAGTCGAGGGCTCCCGTTGATCTCGTCTGCTCGGTGCACTGTGAACGCAGAGTTATCTCCTGAGTCCCAACGCCTACTGTGAGTTCTCGCAACCGGGAGCTCACAAATCTTCAACTTTCTCAAGCGAACACAAAACCGAAACTGAGCGGCCTTTGCGCCTAGAGTGGCAATGCCTGCGCGCTGCAGAAACCTGAACAAAGAACTCATTTTTCCTGATCACGCAAAACATGACGCAGACCAGACCTCCGAAAATACTTAATTGCCGTCAAGCGCTCAGGATTGCCTCACCCTCATCTGAAACCTTCCCGTATGACAGGCCGCGTTGTAACCTTTCACAAAAGGGCCTGTGCTCGATTTGAGCGCAAACCGTCTTTTGATGACCTCATCATGACGTCACACAGTTTGCAAAATTTGTGCATACACCTCTTGCCTAAAAACCTAATGGTAAAGGAATTTTGATTTTAGCATATTGCGTGCGAAAGATATGGCAAAGGCTTCAAAATGATATATAAAATCACATGATGACGTCATGATGACGTCATTTCAATTTTTATCTAAAGCACATCCCGGCATACCCCCATACCAAGTTCCAACCCAACTGGACTTACCGTTCATGGGAATTAGGGGCTTAAAGTATGCACGTTTACGATGATGTCATTGTAACAATACTTTGCAGTGCTCATCATTTTATTGTGTTTTTAGTCTGTACCAAGTTTGAAGCCAATCAAATTAATAAAAGTGTTGAATTTGGTAAGCAGAAAATCATTGTCAAAAAAAATTGAGATGAGATTTTCCGCAACTTTGCGGAAAAGCAAAAAAAAACACACCAAAAAACTGAGAAATGTGTGCATGACATGAAAAGTAGGCATAAAAAGCATAGCCAAACAAATAAACTTTTTATAATTAAATATTCCATCAACAGTTACCAGTAAGTTACCCAATTCTCAGCTATAGTATTCCTTTTTTATATCGTGTGACAGATTTAAAGAATCAGAAGAACAGTCTTGAGGATGCTACTGCCAGAGGCAAGAGAGAAATTGTAAAACTCAGCAATCCTTCGGTATGTTCTCTTTATGCTATATTTTAAACAGATATTCTTTGTAAACTGAAGTTGTTTTAAGATCAATTGAAGTATCTACCATTTTTAAATTGTCGGCAAGGTAATCCCAAAATGAATATCAACCAAACAAATAGCTAAGATAACTATTGAAATACCATTGAGAATTTAATGTCTTGTGGCTTACTTTCCAATGATAGGAAACCATGAAGTATGTTATTGGATTAGACCTTGACGTGTTGAATGTTATGTTGGGATAAAGCCTACTTCATGAGTTTCACTTTGATGTTCTGCAGCAACTACAACCCTACTGTGAACCACGTTTTGTTTGTTTCTATAATGTTTGTTGATCAAAACAATCTGATCCAAAGTATTGTAGTGAATTATATTTTTAGCTCATGCAATGACCCGAGAAACACTACATTGCTTTTTATGCAATTAAAGTTAGGCGAAAAATGTGGTGTCTGGAAATATGTTGTGTTCCAGACACCCCATTTTATTATTTTGTTTTTAAATTTATCCTTACTTTAATTCCAGGAATCTCTGTCCGTCTGTCTGTCTGTCTGTCTGTCTGTCTGTCCGTCGATTATCTCCAGAACCAGGCACCGTATGACGTTGAAAATCGGCGGGTGTATTGCTCGGGACACTAGAATGTGCAGTGCCAAGTTTGAAGTGTTTTGGACCAGCGGTTCTCGAAAAAGCTGCAAAAAAGCAGTATTTTCTGAAGCCTAGCGTGCCAGTATATAGCTTAGAACATAACACCACGCATTGCCGTTCTTTTCAATTGTTTATGTCATGTAAAGCTAAACCGCGCGTGCTCAATATGACGCAAACAATGCAAAAAAGACGGGCACGCGCCATAACTCTATGGCAAGCGCACGGGCATTGTAGGGCGATACTATTGTCCAGTATGGGTGAATATATAGCATTACGTACCATGTTACCGTATGTACACCTACGTGGTGGCTGCACGAGCACATTATTTTTGCAGTCGACTGAGCGACCTTACTGCAGGACGATACCATTGTCCAGTAGGGGTGAGTAATATCTGTGCTATTTTTTGCAGCCTTTTTGAGAACCACTCGCCCAAACAATTTCAAACTTGGCACAAACTTTGACGTGAGTGTGCGTTCAACCTGTGAAAACAACACCCGGCATTGAATCGCATGCGTTGTTTGCACGAGCAGTTCTCAAAAACTATGCAAGCTTGCAACCAATACCTGCGGCAAAGCAATTTGCGCTTCTCAAACAAGCACATTTTAGACGGCACAGCACAGTTGTATGCGTACGAGGACGTGAGAGTCTGCACGGGTATACGCATTTTGTCGTCGACTGAGCAACAATTACTGTAGGCGACTGACTGAGCAACCTTTACTGTAGGACCATACCATAGTCCAGTATGGGTAAATATCAGTGCCAGGGGGTGGTGACGTGTACAAAGTGCGCGTTTAACCTATAAATGTGCGTTCAACCTGTGAAAGCTAGCAACATGTCGCCAGTGTGCGTTGTTTGAATGAGCAGTTCTCTGCCCCCTCCAAAACAGACACATTTTTCAACGGGCCCTGCACTAGTTTATTTAATAACCAACAGTGGAGATCCGCCATTAACAGGTATCATTAAAAATGCAAAAATATTAATTTATATATATATAATTAAAATTACAATAAAATTTGAACAAATACACATGGCACATTCTTAATCAACAGGAAAATTAACCATTACTGATTAAAAAACAAACAAGCAAAGACGAACAAACAAGCAAAGAAACAAACACCCAACAAACCAATAGACAGACAAACAGACAGACACCCAGACAAACGCACAGACAGACTGACAACAGAACACTCACCCTAACAAACAAACAAATTATAATTACATGTATAATTAAAATGAGAGTTCACTAAAATTATCAATGAGCATAAAAATATTTAAATCTACATTCATGTTTTTGATGATGTTAGCATCTAGACCATTATCTTGATGATGTAATTGACCAGCAGCTGCACTGTACATGTTTAGAACTAATTAAGTGTTAATTGTTGCATAGATACCTATAAATCTGTCCTCGAAAGCAGTTTAATGAAGGTTCCCCAAACACATCGCATGATCCATGAAGTCGGTTGTACGTAGATGGCCATGTTCAGACACCGTGTTAGCTAAAACGGTAAAAGTTAAAACGGTCGCTCACCACGGGAGGCCCGTCGTAAACATAAAACTACCTAGCGTCCAGACATCGTTTTAAATATAGAAAGTTCAACTCGAAGCAGTTTATCTCAGGTTCTAAGGTCACGTAGAACATCCGCCTCGGCAAAAACCGCGTGCTAAAAAGAGCCTTCACTCTTCCATTTTTACAGTTCGCTACACGTGGTCCGAGCCCCTCACCGTGTGATGTGTGTTGCTATGCTGTGTTTGACATCGCAGCCTCGGCCAGTCATGTAGCGTGGCACGCCGGTAAACATGACGACAGTCACTTGTCCACCGCAGCAATTTCCCCATTTTTTTGGAAGTATCGTACATCGGCTTTACATATACACCATTTTGTGTTTACATTTGGGGGGCTATTTTCTGTACCTTCCGTGGTGCAAAAAGATATAAAACATGTTCTAAAAAGTTGTTCGAAAACCAGTGTTCGAAACAAGACGTCATTGAACAGATTTCACTCAAGGTTTAATACATCAACTTGCCCGCACAAAATGTCAGTCACATGAAAATGCACATGATATTAACATTGCAACATTGACGAATCAACGCCAAGGTTTTCCTAGTAGTTGAATATATTAGTGTGTTATGATAATTATGCTCAGGTTAGCGGTTGTTGAGTTGGCATCCTAAACTTTTGTTTTGCGAGTGAGCACGATGTGAAACTCAGACCATGTGGTCAGAAAACTTGCGGAAATTGGACTTGAAATTTGATTTTTTTTTTAACGGTAGGAGAATTAGGACATTGTTTGCTTAATAGAAAAGCGCGCCAAGGAGAAGGCGTTACGTAACTCCGGGTCACTGCGCTGGCTAAAACGGGCAGCGTTTTAGCTAAAACCGTTCAGACACCGTACTAGGAGATAAAGTCGTTCTGGTTATTCGCTAAACCGTCCCTCCGAGGGGGTTTAAGTTGCCGTTTTATCTTCGAGTTTAACTCGATTCGGTCTAAATAAAAAAGCGTTCAGACATCGTTTTAGCAAGAAAGTTACACTGAATCGAGTTTAACCGGTGTTTTAAGAGAATTTAAAACGGTGTCTGAACGACCCCGATGACATCCTGGAAACAAAATCTTGTTTGGTAACGTCAACTTGGCTCCTGGGAACATGCATAATGTGTTTGGCAGCTGATCTAGTCAATGTTCTGGAACATGCAAGCTAAATGGATTAGCAGTGGTTAAATTGTACTTGCTGTGGATATGTTTGAAGAGGAATGAACAATTGTTAACTGTTCTCCTTTTCACAAGAGTTGGTAAGATGTGAGGTAGATGCTTTGGAAATGGTCCATCAAAAGAGCTGCTTTACTGGCTGAATTGTCTGCATGTCCACCATTTGTTTCATTATGAAGAATTGATGGCAGTGTATGCTGGCGAGATCTTGTCTTCATGAAGTTCCAAAATCAATTTTTATGCCCCGCGGCGAAGCCGAAGGGGCATACTGTTTCCGCCTTGTCCTTCCGTGGGTGTGTGGACGTGGGCTCTTGTATTGTATTACGCTCGAGGACAGACAACAAAAGGAGCACAAAGGGGCCTTTCATCCTCGGACGACGGTGCCTATTGTCCTCAAATGCCGGTTTGTGCGCTTAGTCTATGGGAAAGGGTTAGATAAGGGAACAAAGGAAAACACAAAGCCAATCCTCGGAAGCATAGCAAAACACGACAGTGGGTGGGTGGGAGTATGTAAACACCGGCAATCGTGGACGTAAGACAACAGAATTGGGACGCAAACAATACGTCCACGATTGACCGAACGTCCACGATCTCAAATCTTGTTCAAAACCAATGAGAGCTGTCGCTAAAAAGTTAAGGAACAAACAAGGAAAGAGGATTAGGGACAATGGGGCGTCCACGATTGCTGGCATTTACACACGTGTGTGTGTGGGCGTGAATTATATACACCCCAAGGACAGACAGACAAAGGGAGAACAATAGATTCTTTGTTGTCCTCGAGAGTTCATCTTTTGTTGAAATCTGTCCTCGGTCATGCGTTTGTGTGCTTAGTCTATGGGAGAGTGTTATATTACAGGGACAAAGGAAAAGATAAAGCATTGTCCTCGAGAGTATAGTAAAACACGACTGCGTGAGTTTGTCTTACATACGCAGTGTGGACTTCCGAACAAAAGACGTCCACATAATGTAGGTAGCACCGACGTTGTGTGGACTTACCCCACGTCCACACAGTGTTTCCCCATTTCTGGAAAACAGGTTTAGAGGCATTTTTGGGTTAGGTTTATCTGTAGCAGAATGAAGAGAAACACTAAAGGGAATCATAGAAAAAAAATTGGGTTGAAAGAGTTTTCACAGTTTGAGAAAAATGAGTTTTTTCACTGGTTTCTCTTAACTACACGAAAGCAATGGAAAGTCCACACTAGTCATGTGAAACAAGTATGTGTGTGTGGGTGTGTGTGTGTGTCCGGACAAATTTTGTCAGCGCGATAACTTGAGAAATACTGAACATATGAACTTCAAATTTGGTTTGTGGATTGTTCTTGGTAATCCTAAGAAGCCTATTGCATTTGGGGCGGAAAGGTCAAGGGTCAAGGTCACAGTGGCTAAAACAAAAGACATTTGTCAGCGCGATATCTTGAGAAATACTTTACATGTGAACTTCAAATTTGGTTTGTGGATTGTTCTTGGTAATTCTAAGAAACCTATTGCATTTGGTGCTGAAAGGTCAAGGGTCAAGGTCACAGTGGCTAAAACAAGAATTTTTCAGCGCGATAACTTGAGAAATACTTTACATGTGAACTTCTTAAATGTTATGAGTTATATTTGCAGCCCATGCAATGACAGCAAATCAGTGCTGCTT